GACTTTGCTGTGGATCGTCAGGCATTTCACTCGAGAGTGGCGTTAGAAGCGTTTTACTGTTCTTCTTGATTGACACGGCCCCAGGGGTGGGGGGTAGGGGCAGTGGCAGTGGCAGTGGCAGCTGCTGATTGTATCTGTGCTGCTGCTGCTGGTCGCAACCTCATTTACAGTTGTGGCCGCTCTCCGATCTCAATGGGCTCTTTGTTGGCCGAGAGTGGACCGAGTATGGACCGAGGCTTTTCTTCCGCTTTCAACGGTTCATAATTGAAATTATAATTCAATTTGGTGCTGGTGCTGCTGCTGGTGCTGTTGCTGTTGCTGCCACTCTTTGCTTTTCAATTATTTTCCATGCACATTAGAAAATGTCTGCCGGTCCGGGAGAGTGAAAGATACAGATACAATTGGGCCTTGGATTGGCGTGCGCAGACGCTGCGCATGCGCAAATAAATTTTCAATTTGATTCGAGGATTGTGTGTGTTTTTTTTTCTTGTTTTTGGTTTTTCTTCATGCACATGCATTGCAGGAGGCGGTAAGGGGGCGAGTGAGAAAACCCACTCACACAATGCCGTGTCGCGTCTCCTCTGGCAATTAAGAACGCTTTCATTTTTCATTTTTTTCTTCTCATATATCGCACCTTCCCGACTCTTTCTCTTCCCAAATTACTTTTACTGAATATAATTGAAATGACATTAACACCCGTGAACCAGCATCAGATACAGATCCATCTTGATGGAGTTTTCTTGTTGTTGCATCAATATCCCATGTGATATATAAATATTTATCTGGCAAACAGATTCTCCAATTGAAAACGCTTCTCTCTTGCCGTTCTTTTTCCCCCCAAACCCAATGAAGAGGGTTTTTCCCTCTAAACCAAAAATAGAAATGGAAATGGCTTTCTGTCTGCCTACGAAATCAAGGCACTTGAGAATTTTCCCCATTTTCCAGCATAACAATAAATTGCAGACTGTCAAAAGAGCTTCCCGCCCCGTCCCCCCGCCCTGCCCCTCTGCTCACTGCTGATAAAGCAATAATGAGGGTCAGACCTCAAGTTTTTTCACAATTATTTACAATTTCCTATTGATTTGTTCCACTGCCTTTGGGGGGAAAGCTCTCCCTGGCTCTGCTTCAATTATTGGCCTTTATCAGTTAATTAGGGAGCCACTGCTTTGACCTCAGGTCAACTCTGATGTAAGGCGGACGCTCTGCAGCGCCTCAATTGTGGCTTTCGTTGCACGCGTTTTGCATGCGTTTAAAGTCGCTTACGCAAGAATCGCGCTCAGAGCTGCGCTTAGGTGCGGTTTCGTAGAAAGTGTCGCCTCGTCGCACCCCATACCCCACACCCCCTTTGACGACACATTTGTGGCATAAATTAAGCAATTTACTTTTATGACAATGCGTGGAATGTGTGTCCCAGAGGCAAACGAAAACAGAAGGCGAAAACAAATCATATTTTCAAGCTGTTTGCCATTTTTCCTGTTGTTTTCCTGCTGTGCGATGGCACAGGTGCCTGCCGGTGGGTTGGCCAGGTGGATTTTGGGTGGTTCAACACACTTTTGATTCATTTGCTGTCGCCGTGTCGATTGTTTTTTGAACACAATTAATTGTTATGCGTTTTTAATGCCCATCGCTGTCTTATATAAGTCGATACACACTGTACATATGTATGTACATATATGTATAGTAGATATATAACCACATGTTTGCATTGCACACTTAACAGTTTTGTTGCGTTTTCTGGCCTTTGTTTGAGCTTTACATTTTTTTTTAGCGTTAATTTCTTTTGGTTTTATTTTTCGAGTTTGGCAAAGAAAAAGAAAAACTTTCTCCCGGCCGCCGTCGCCTGTCGTGCCGCAAATGGCGAAGAGAGGGAGAGAGAGAGAGCAATAGAGAGGGAGGGCGGGAGGTAGAGGGAGAAACTGAATAACAAGATGATTTACTGTACGAAGTGATCATTGTTGGATCTCTTGAGTTATTGTTTATTTTTGTCAAAAAAAAGGTGTTGGAGAGGAAACGGAACTTTTCAAGATTCGGAAACGCATGGCATCCAGTCGTGACAGTGCGTATCATGACCATAGGGAGGGAGGGGCTTGGAGTATAGCGAGTATGAGTATTATATTGTGTATATATCATATTAGTATTATATACTTTTCATGTCTCCCTAATTAGTCAAAGAATTTTTGTTGGAAGCTGCCAAAATATTTAAAAGTAAGATTTACTCCCCATGTATATAATTATTCAAAGAATTTTTGTTGCAAGCCACCAAAATATTTTAAAATAAGACAAAAAAATATCTAATAAATATCCAGTTACCAATTAAATCAAGAAACTGATTTATATCTTGCATTAATGATCGATTTTATTTGGTGAAAGTATCTCTCTATTGTATATATACAAATGTTTCGAGTCATCGTTCAGTATTTTACTCATATCGGCGCGAGCGGGCGAGGCCAGTGAGCCGGGGGCTGGCCACAAAATAAATACGTTTCGCATAGATTTTTCCAGGAATATAACAAATATTCGCAGATCCATTACAGATCCACAAACCCTAAGCTCCGAGACAACTACAATCTTAGTCACGCTTCAAACCGATCACAATTAAAACTAGTAACTAAATCTTAATATTTTTAAAATTTTTTAAATTTCCTTAAAGCAAGGAGAAGCACTTTAATATCGCAAAATCTTTGGCGGTTGTTTATCTAGCGAACAAAAAGCAAAATATTATGATGATGATAAATCACCAACAACCGAGCAACAGATAAGAGACGGACCCCCTGTGAGACCTAGACCCAATGGCAGTCCCAGAGCTGCCATATCTCAACGCCCTCTTGACTTGTCTTTAATCAATCACGTTTCGCTTATCTCCAGCTCGGGCTCAGAAAAAAATAAAAATGAAAATATGAAGCTTGGGGAAAAGTATTGGAAAGAAAAGAAAAGAAAAAAACACTGACCACAGACAGAAAATAAATTACAGTCAAGGTTTAAGCCCGCCTCATTTCGATTATTATGCAAACAGCAATGGAGCTATACTCGGTACTCGGTAATACACAAACAGCAATTATAATATATATTTGGAAACAGCAACAACAACAACAGAAGTACACCAATGCGTGCCTTGAAAATGCCAAACGGTCGATGGAAAAGTGAAAAGTTGGAGTCCGGCTTTAATGTGCATAATTATTGTTCAGTTCAGTTGGGGCTTAATTTCTTTTGCCAGACTGCGTAACGGGGGCGGCCCTTCTCCACCCCCCCTCTGAGACCACCCTCTGCCTCTCGAATATGTACGTGCCGAAATGCATTTGTTTTAGCGTTGACAAACTTCTTGTTTGTTCGCTTGATTTGCTAATGCGGGAAAAGTCTCGCAAAAAATTGCATAAAACGACAAAAAAAAAATGGGGGAAAATAAAATGCTCATATTTGTGCCATTTGTTCGAACGAGTTTTTGTGAAAGTACGAATGCGAATAGTCTAGCGAATAGTTAATACAAATTTTACGGCCGGACAGACGCGTTGCACTCGATCGATGCCATGGGCTGGGCCTGAGTCTGCGTCTGCGTCTGAGTCTGAGTCTGCGTCTGAGCCTGGGCTGGAACACGTTTCACTCTGGCCATGCCATTTTTGTTTCATGCCTTGCCTCCTTTTACACTTTATTGACAATTTCTTTTAGTTGTTGTTGCCCGCGAACGTGCGTAGCTATTGTCGTTGTTGATGGTGGAAAACCACACCGAACCGCACAAAGATACAGATACATTAGCGCATGTGTGAAAACCGGCCATCGGCCACCGGCCACCGGCCAAGTTGTGGCTGTCAATCGTCGACGGTTTGCAATGAAATGCGAATTTCATTCATGGCAATTTCTGGAGAGTTACGTCTCGGTGACAGGCCCGGGGAAGGCGGTAGGGAGGGGGTCATCAGAAATCAGGTGCTCATAAATGAAGAAACCCATAAAAAGGCTTAACATCTTTCAAAGAGAAATACACTCCACATGGAACACCAATAAAATATGGCTAAATATAATTGTATCTACAATTTGTGATAGTTTTCTATTTCAACATTTCTTTCTTAAGAAAAATTTATCATAAAGGGGTTTATATTTTGCCAAACAAATTGTAGGCACTTTTCGCTTTTGAGTCATGCGGGTAATTCCCATTGGCCGTCCATTGATTCTTGAGTCACCTCGTATCGAAGTTTATCACTTGCCAGATCGGTCAGGGCTTGCATTACCTAATGCAGGTCGTGTTACTGATTTTGCATTCCTAAGACTTCCCAAGCCACATTGTATAACTGTAACCCAAAACGCATACAAAAATATTTTAACAAAAAAAACAAAGAAAAAGAAGTGGTCTTTCCGCTGCTTTGTTTAGACCAAGGAAAGTTGCAAAAAAATTTCCTAAATTAAGTATTTAAGTTGAGAAATATATATATTTATATATGTTAAAATTATCCGCTAGGTGTTTATGCAAACGAGCAGAAAATACCGAAATCCAAGCAAAAATTTCACAAAGTCAGCTACAACAAAATTCAGACGGGTAATAATTATCCAAAAGAAATTATGGCTGCCTTAGGTGTGTGTGTGTGTGTGTGAGTGTGTGTGTGTGCTGGTGAAATGCGAGACTGAGAAGCGACGCGGCAGAGAGCAAGTTTTAAGGTGCTAAAAGTTATGCAGCAGCAGATTATGAAATATGCCAGCGAAAGGAGGGCCCCGTCGCCTCCGACTTCGACTCCCGATCCGTTTAAGATATTTCATTGTGGCCTATACCCCCCTGGCACCGAGTGCCAGTGGAGTGTATAAGGCTGACTGCCATCGGATGGGAGCCTTTAGGGTATCCCATAGTCGAGGCTTGGCTCTCAGCATTCTTTCGACCTGGATCGGGATTGGCTTGGCCTATCCTATTGAACGCGTTGAGGTTTCAGCTCTGGCTGGTTAACTCGTTTGTTAGAAGCCACAACGAAAAAGCCAGAATGCCAAAGGCTCTTCTGCTCTTTCTTGTTGGTGTAACTTACACAGTGCTGCAGATTGTTGCTGCTGCTTCTCCTCCCTGCTGTTGCTGCGGTTTCAATTGACTGACAGGCGACGGGGGTGCGGTGTGCGGATGCGGGACAGGAATAGACGCGTTGCGTTCCGGTATCAATGTCGTTTCCCGTGCGTTTTCCAGTCTCGTCTCTGGTTTTTCTTTTTTTTTTTTGCGATGATTTAGCGTGAGTATTTTCTTTCGATTTTTGTTAGGCACTAAAAAAACTAGAGCTCTGAAGTAAACAATATCACTTGCTTCTTCTGTTATTTACTCAACATTATTTGCTTGTTAATTGGTTTCGTTGTTACTGAATTTTCGATATTCGGTCGAAAGGTACATATATCTTTCTTTTCTTTCGGGGTCGTTTAGAAAGTGGGTTAACACGAACAGGGCGCGCGTCTATGCAAATTATTGGTCACGGGCATAATTTACTTGATTCGATTTATTACTGCAAATTTCAACTTAATTCAACTTTGTAATCTGGCGTTGTTGCTGGAGACACTCTACACTATGTATATCTGTGTATTGTGGTTCGGATCTCCCACTCCGGGCGCTCTAATACAACTTGATCTTCCGCTTGGCACGTTTGCACTCCAACTCGTTTCGCTTGCGATTGTGAACGAGATCGGATATGTCAAGACACGATCGGGCATGGCACGATGCAGAAAATTCCACAGTACACAGCAAAAATTCCCACTGTACCACCCGACGGCTACGCCATGTTGCCCAACTCAACTCGCATGTTGCTATACTCATGTTGCAAACAAACCGGTTTCAGTGCTACCTATTCTTGGGTATGCACTTTGCAATGCCCTTTTTTATACCATATTTATACCATAACGTATCCCAAGGCATACTCATTGTCTCTCTCATATTAATTTTATCTCTACTATGAAATAATTAGTTTGTAGAGATTTAAAAACTTGTATACCATATTCCCGTATTTGTTCATCTAATACATGATTGTCTCACCTACTGGCTGAGAGAACAAACTTCTCATAAATTCTTTAGTATCTCCATTTTCAAGAGTATTCAAAATGTTGCCCAATTCTGGCTGCATGTTGCTGATCCATTCACAGTCTCCTTCAAACTGTACGACAGGGTATGTTGGGCCAAAAAGGTACACCTTCATTTTTATTCAATTTTTCATCGGTATTTCTCAAATATATCGCATTCAAATAAAATACCAATAGAGTGCTCTAAGCCGCTTTCAGGGCGCCACATTTAAATTTGTGAAAGAATTTAAATTGTGTATTTGTAAACAGTTTAAATATATTTATATGAAGTTTCGAACTTCTTCCGATGCTTCTGCTCCGATAACCTTACCGAAGCCTTCTTCTGAGCGCCCACCGGCAGTCCTTGGCCCGCAGCACCTGCACCCCATTCCAAGTTTATAGTTGCGGCGAGCGGAAGCTACAATCACGGCCTACAAAATATTGCCAGATGATCAAACGAACAAGTTGATATAAGCCTTCGATATGCCTGCCATTATTTAGGAAAGCCAAATCGACCCTTTGTTTATTTAGCCTACAGGATATTTAAGGAATTTAGAATTTACCTTTCCAACTGGGGATTATCTATTAAAGATTCAGTGGTACCTCGACAATTTGATACGAACGTTTGTTTCACACTCGTAGATGATCTCATGAAGTGTCAACGAACCAAGCCTGGATTGTGTCGTAGATCGGATATCTCTATAATTATAGTTCATTAGAGTTTAATCAGAGTTTAGAGTAATTCAAGCAATTAAACTCTCCCATGGGCAAATTAACATAGGATAAAATGACACGTTGGTGTCATTCAAATGTTATTGTGCCCTCAAGAGCAGGAGCAATGCGTTGCCAGCTGATTATCTGTGCGCTTCTCGGATTATTCCTAACATTCCACATTAATATAAACGTAAATATATGGATAATACTAGTCAAGTGGACAATATTGAACCAAGTTTTCAGGATGCCGTCGTCTTTAAATTTACAAACTTCGTCTGCGAGAGTTACAATCAATCCTGGTTCGTGTTCCACAACTATCGTCTGAAGGCCGTCAGTCGAAACAAAGTGCTCCTCAATATGAATGGGACGATACTACATCCGGTCAACAATGCATCACTTCGTGGCAGAATTTTCAAAAAGGCAAACGGCTATAAGCCTTGGCTCGTCGATATTTACTTGGATGTCTGTCAGTATATGAGAAAGCGGAATCAACCTATTGTTAATATAGTCCATGGGCTCTTCAAACAGTTTACCAACATTAACCACACATGCCCCTACGTGGTAAGGATATACGTGTAAGTCTTACCACTTGCAGATCTGAAAATATTTTTGCAGGGTCCACAGATTGTCAAGGATTTTTATCTAAGACCTGAGCTACTGCGTGTTCCCATGCCAACAGGGGATTATTTATTGGCGATTCAGTGGTACTTCGATAAGAAGCTGCAGTTTGATACGAACGTTAGTTTTACATTCGTGGAGGATCTAATGAAGAGCAAATAGTGGGAATCAGTGTTAGACGTTCCCTGAAAATCAACAGATACATAGAACAGTAGAAAATGTATTGTACCGATTCGTCAAATATATGTATTGGCTAATCCGTGTTATTCGATTTATCGGTGCATGAAACGAAGGGGAAATAGCAACGGAAATTGAAAACGGAAACGGTTCTGATGGAACGGAAACCATTGGGATGCGGTCCACGCTGATCGTCTGTGTTCTTTTCGGATTGTTCCTAGCATCAAACTTTAGCTACAACCTTCATATTTGAGAATGGAACTATTAAGCCGCATTAAAATTTATTTTCTATTATATAATGTCGTCCTGAGATAATTTAAACATACTGGTTTTTGGATAACTTGGATATTTATCAACATTTATTGACTCATTATGCTGCAAAATATATCAATCTATCTTTATATAAAAGAAATTCGTGTTAGTTAAACTATTTATAACCCAAGATTTGCTGAACCGATGCCGTGACCAAATCTTTACCGACAAAACCGTAATTCAAGAAGGATAGGAAATATGGCGAATGAAACTATTGAAGAAAAACAACAAATTGCACAAGAAGAGATTTATCAAGAGCTGATTTGAATCGAGCAGCGATTCGATACAATTGCAGCACTTATTGATGGTTGCATCCTAGCTTTTTCATTGGGCCAATGGACGTTGTTGCGAATATTGTGGCATTGAATTTTCCGGAGAAACGGCCAGATTGTTCTGAAGAACTCAATTTACTAGAAAACGATACACATTGGGATACGGCAATCGAGGAAGCTATTATCTCTTATTTAGACATGCTCGAACCCATCGACATCGAACCCATCTAACCCGTGGCACAAATACAAGGATAATATTTCAGAAGATATTTTACATCAAAATCGTGTAAGTTCCCGAAATCCCGATCTTGAAACGAATGAGGAGATACAAAATCAATCTTTACTATTGATCGAGGACATGTGTTACCTCATATGCGGTAGTTTATTAGTCAGGTTAGGAATTCTAGCGCCCATTTTATTCGAGAATTGGAACGGGAACGTGAATATGATCATCAGGAACTGATTTTATCAGTTCAAACAAATGTACGCCTGTTGAATCCCCAACAAAAGGAAGTTTATGATACAATAATAAAGGCAATTGATGATGGAAATGGTGGTTTATATTTAGCCAATGTTCGTATGAGATCCAATATTGCGATTGAATACTTCTTACTTCTTTTGGAATAGCAGCCACATTGTTAAAATGATAACGTACTTCGATAAGAAGCCACAATTGTGCAGGAGATCGGATATCTTTATAGCTCCAGTTTATTAGTGTTCAATCAGCGTTTAGAGTAATTAAACTCTATCATGCGTAAATGGACGAAGCATAAAACAACACGTTCGTGTCATTCAAATGTTATTGTGCCCTCAAGAGCAGGAACAATGCGTTGCCAGCTGATTATCTGTGCGCTTCTCGGATTATTCCTAACATTCCACATTAATATAAACGTAAATATATGGATAATACTAGTAAAGTGGACAATATTGAACCAAGTTTTCAGGATGCCGTCGTCTTCAAGTTTACAAACTTCGTCTGCGAGAGTTACAATCAATCCTGGTTCGTGTTCCACAACTATCGTCTGAAGGCCGTCAGTCGAAACAAAGTGCTCCTCAATATGAATGGTACGGCACTACATCCGGTCAACAATATTTCAATTCATGTCAGAATGTTAAAAAAGGCAAACGGCTACAAGCCCTGGCTTTTCGATATTTATTTTGATGGCTGTCAGTATTTTTTCAAGCGGAATCAACCTTTTGTTAATATAGTCTATGGGCTCCTCAAAGAGTTTACTAACATAAACCACTCATGCCCCTACGTGGTAAGATTATACGTCTATGTCTAACCACTTGTACATCTGAAATTTATATTGCAGGGTCCACAGATTATCAAGGACTTTTATCTAAGACCTGAGCTACTGCGTCTTCCCTTTCCAACAGGGGATTATTTATTGGCGCTTCAGTGGTACTTCGATAAGAAGCTACAGTTTGATACGAACGTTAGTTTTACATTCGTGGAAGATTTAATGAAGAGAAATTAGTGGGAATCACCTGAATACAGATTCAGTGGATCCCTGAAAACAACAGTAGAAAATGTATTGTACCGATTAATCAAATATATGTATGGGCTAATCCGTGATATTTGACTGATCGGTGTATGAAACGAAAGGGAAATAGCAACGGAAATTGAAAAGGGAAACGGTTAGGATGCAACGTAAACCTTTCGGATGCGGTCCACGCTGAGCGTCTGTGTTCTTTTCGGATTGTTCCTAGCATCAAACTTCAGCTACCACCTCTATATTTGAGATTGGAACTATTACGCCGCGATAAAAAGTATTCTCTATAATACATACAATTTTCTCCGGAAGTAATTTGAGCAAACTGAGTTTTGAATAATTTTCAACATTTATTGCTTTCATTCATGCGGCAAAATATATATTTTGTTATTGAGCTCCTACAGAGAGCGTGCTGTGAGAGCTCTCGGCCGAGTATGTCAAGTGTGTAAAAGGGGAAGGATGGCAACCCTGACCTTCTTGATCAGCATCAAGAGGTGAGTCGATATAGCCTTTCTGTCTGTCAATCTTCAAAGACGCAAAGCGGAAGCGTGAACCATAGCCGACACACGGGGATTTCTGCTTTAGTAGCCATCGAAAATGTCCCTACGCGAATGGAATGTTCAGGGCGGTAGATTCAGTCCAGCTCCAGATATGCAAGTAGACATCCCTCATCTTTGTCTCTCAACCATTTGAACCCAGCAAGGCAATATGCTCCTATGCATACATGAGCTAGACAATAGATAATTTAAGACCATTTGGATGAGAGATATTAGATAAGAGGATTGAAATGTCTTAAGAGCTATTGACGGCTGCTGCTTCGAACATACTCCCCCCGTTAAGAAACCAACGCCTTTAACAGGATCCTCAACGGGAAGGACGGTTTCAAGAGTGGTTCCAGTTGGTATCCACAGAATGACAACTCGCACAGCCCCACCATCTCCAGCGAGGGCTACTTCAGCCAATTTTCGTCCTTGATACTGACGACGGCTTTGACCTGGATAGAGGG